AACAAATCATACCAAGTGTCAATCACAAACAAAAAAAAAAACAGATTAATCCACAATACAGGAAAAAACACAGGTAATTGCTAGGTGTCAAAAATTCTTTTATCTGCAAAAAATATTCCTTCGAAATCTACCGGTGTTGTCAGGGATATTCAAGGCCTACAATCCCAATCCGGAACAACCCGGAAATTTTGAAATTTGAGAAAAAGAAATAAAAAATCTTAACCTGCGATTCCCGTGAATTTCCGGGATTTGAAGAAAAAAGAAATAAAAAACTTTGAAATTTGAAAAAAAAACAAACATACAGTTTCGTCAAAGATATTCGAAAAACCTGCAATCTCAACAAGCGATCCCCCTGAATTTTTGGAATTTTGAGAAAAAAACAACTAAAAATTTTAAAATCAAAAAAAAAAACCAAATGCTACCTGGAAATAGCTGGATCTCTTGAATCAGTACAATACCGAAATCTCTAGATACGATGTGAATATAATACCTGAAAAATGCGCGGCTAATAGATTAGGGTGAACAAAATTTCCAAAAAAAGGAAAATGCGCCAAAATTTGGCGCAACCTTCCCGGAGTCAGCGTAATCCCTTGGAACTTCTAGATTCGAAAGGTGGATATAAAATAATCTTACAAATGCGCGGGTATCACTTCCCGGGAAGCGATCCTCGGAACTTCTAGATCCGAAAGGTGGATACAACCTCCTGAAAGACGCACGGGTATCAATTCCCGACATTTCGGGAAAAAAGGCGCCAAAATTTGGCGCAATCTCATCGCAGTGTCTGCGCAATCCCTTGGAACCTCTAGATCCGAAAGGTGGATATAAAATCTTACAAATGCGCGGGTATCGGTTCCCGAGAAGCTACCCACGGAACCTCTAGATCCAAGGAAACCTTCTGAAAGACGCGCGGGTATCAGTTCCCGACATTTCGGGGAAAAAGGCGCCAAAATCTAGCGCAATCTCATCGCGGCCAGCGCAATCCCTTGGAACTTCTAGATTCGAAAGGTGAATATAAAATTTCATAAATGCGCGGGTACCAGTTCCCGAAAAGCGACCCTCGGACCTCCGGATCCAAGGTCGCTTTTCGGGAACCTCCTGAAAGACGCGCGGGTACCAGTTCCCGACATTTCGGGGAAAAAGGCTCCAAAATTTGCCATAATTGCAGTACATGAATAATATGCCGCGCACCTAAATGGGCACAAAATACCGGAAATGCTACATCCGAAGTCGGTGAAATACCCTGCAAAAAACATGCGGCTATAAAATCCCAAGGATCAAAGTCCGGGAAAAAAAATCCGCGAAAATTTGCCGCTACTGCAGTAACTCAAGAAATACCCTACCCAAAGACAGTGCCTCAAAACAGGTTTGATGCAGGACGGGCTTCTAAGGTGGAGGGAGCGGAAGGGGGTGGGTGGGAGTAGGACGTGGAGAGGGAGAAGGGGAAGGGGGGAGGAAGGAGGGGAGATTCACCTATGAGTTCCGGAACTCCTGGATCTGAAGCAGCTAGAACAGTGGGGAAACGAGTGGATTTCAGGTCTGCAGTACGCGTGCAAAACGTGCCCTACCCAGGAGTAAGTGCAATACCCGAGCCCGAACTTCGAGGCGGGTAAAGCACCGGGGAAACTTGCCCGGGAGCTTGTATGGATTGGGCAATTTGCCCTCATTTTTGAAGACGAAAATAGACCCCCCC